AAACGTCTTTGGCTGTCGTGATGAAATCTCAGGCCTGCAATCCTCACAACCGCTATGAGCCCAGGCACCTTATCAGAGTTCCTGGATTCGCCAATCGATTTGCCATCGACAGAAGTCAATTTAAGCAGGGGTCTTAAGCGGGCCTTCTACGGTCGGACTTTTTTTCTTTTTTAACACGTTTTTCCTCCCGCCCCCTGCTCACCCTCCCTCTTCCTTTTCAAAGAAGAGGACCGAGGTGGGGGTATCTCGCCCACCTCCATACACTCTTCAGGCAGCTATAGTGTTTGAAGCTGCTGATGATGATGATGATCTTGTTGCGGTGTCTTTTGCGTCGTCTTTTTGTTGTTGTTGCTGTTGTTGCTACTTCTGTTGTTATTGGCGTTGTTGCTACTTCTGTTGTTATTGCTGTTGCCGCTGTTTTTACTTCTGTTGCTACTGCACTTATTGCTGTTGTTGCTCCGGTTCCGGCTGCTCCTGTAGGACATCCTAATCTAGCTGCTTAAACACCTCAGCCATTTTGGACGAGGCCACACACAAAAACAAATAACTCACAGGACAATTAAATGCGGTAAGTAGATAGTACAAAAATGAGGCAAAATAAAACAAAAACGTACAAATAAAACTTTCAAAATAAAGTTTTGCTTTAGGAAGAAAGACAAACAAAATAACATAGAAAATAAAATATAAATTAAAAATAAATACAAAAAAGAATTAAGCTAAAGAATAACAAATAGAATTGCCGAAAATGAAAAAAAAATAAAGAAAAATGAAAAAAAAATTCACAAATGTAGCAAAGTTCATGTAAAAGAAAACAAGAATGAGAAACACCTACACTGAAAGTTTACACACTCTTTCACAAAGATAGTCCTTCCTTATCCGAGTCAAACCCCGACCGGTCTTTGTTAAAAGACAGTCCGGAAGAAGTAGAAAAATAAACGATTCCACTAACTAGATATAGATCCAAAATAACCAAAATAGCAAAATCCGCATAGGAATGTAGATTAGTATAGAGAAATGTGCGAGATCTGAATGTGAATCACCACCGTCAGAGGGTTTGGTGCTCTTGCTTTCGTTGAGTCATTCCAATCTTCTTGGATTTCTCTGCGGAAAAATTCACAGGTAGTGTATCGATGGTGCTATCCGTGGGGAGGTTTATAGACTCAAAGTGGGGAGCCTTTTTATGGGTCCGAGATCTCCCAGCTCTCTGAGTGAGACGTTTGATTGCTTGCCATCAGGGTGTTGAATTATAACATGTAGGTTGGCTTCCAGTAATTCCACTTCATTCACCGGTGAGTCATTATTTGTTCTGTCAGACGTGTCTTTTTAACAAAATAGGAACTGGTTGTGAGAGCCAATACAGAAGAGAGGTCCCAGGAATTTAAGAGGTCTCATGCAGTGTCGCATTTCTGTTAGTGCCAAATAGAGTTCTGATAGCGTACAAGAGCTTTTTCCAATGTGCAATAAGACGTTTGTGGTTTGCGACCGCTAAATGTATAGTCTCCAATATAACGTTCACACAGACCATTACTCAAGAAATTATACGGTTTTGTTCGACTCCAAGCCACATTCCTCTCAATTAAAAATTTCTTCAGCTGTCCTGACATAAAGATTCGGTCAGTGTGGATGTACGCTGGTGCTCCGAAAATTGAGACATTGTATGAGAGTTTCTGAGAAACGCAAAGAGGAACTAAAGTATTCGTCGATCATCATCAGAAATTATCTATTTTCATTTTTACTTGATAGCGCCCCATTAAAAACGTGAAGGATTGCGTGGCATTCACGAGAGTTCCTGATTTGAGTTTGTAGAACCGAGGCTTACTCATCGAGCACGTCTGACAGTTGTTCGTAAAACCTCTTGACATTCTCGACGGGGGAACGGTAGATTTTGACTACGGACCAGATATTACATTCTGGTGATCCCTGGGCGACACAACCTTATGTAACTTCTGAAGATGGTTAGTAAAAAAAGAAAATAGCCAGATGGAGCTTTCAAGTTTTTCATTTGACGTCGTATATCGCCCTAGCGAGGAAAATACAGAGTAGCTAGGGAGATATACGACGTCAAATGAAAAACTTGAAAGCTCCATCTGGCTATTTTCTTTTTTTACTAACCATCATGGAGTTGTACATAAATGCTAAAAATTTTGGGCTTGTACCTAGTCTAAAGTGGCAGCCGGTCATGTAATGTCACCATTTCTTTAGGGCTTCGACAATGGCATAAGCTTTTTTTTCTATCGCTTAATGTCGTCTTCCGACCACGAAAGTGTTCTACACAAGAATGCTACGGGGTATTTGGATTGTCTCAGATAGGCACCAATAGTACTGCGTCTGCTCCTATTAATAGAAGAATAGTAGGATGACCTTTTTAGAAATTGGCCATACATTTTGTGACCTCCCCAAAAAAAGGAACTCGTGGAAATTGGTACAACAGTTTTGCATGCTTCAAAGGCCTTATAAGGCTTGTCTTTCGGGTCTATTTCTACCTGATGATGCGTGCTTTTCTATTCCAGGGTGCTATAAGATCAGAAATTTAATGACTATGTACAAGGCTCGGCGCCCTAGAGATGGCACTAACACACATTGTAAAATATAAGAGAAAGAGAAGAATGATCCACTAATATCAAAGACTATGCGGAATCAGAGAAAATGGGTTTTACAAAATAGGCACAACAGAGCAGTGAAATAATAATTTTTTTTAAAAATGCTCGAAACAGTAAGCAAAAAAAAAAAGAAAAAAAAGACAATGACTGTAATTTTTACCAAAAGCAGATTCTGTGCGAATTTCTACATACTTATGTATTATTGCTTTGCTAATCTGTTTTTTATTCTATCTTAACTCAATTTAGTCGGTGTGAGTCGATTATTTTTAAGCTTAATTGAAAAAAACGCAACACTGAGATTCACGTCCTCCGAAAATTGTATTTTTCATTCATATATATTTTAGATACAAATAGAAATTAATACTGACTTGTATGTGCAATCAGTAAAGCAAAGTGAAATATGAAGATGACGTGTATCTTTACTACTTATTATGATTCACCTATAATAAATATTATTTGCTTTAAAAAACACTATTATTAGTCATTTTTTACTAAGTCTCTGTGAATTATTGTTAGAAATCGACGTTTTGTCTATATCTCTGAGATGAGGTATTATGATTTCATACGTTATTTACATTATTCGGAGTGTTATCCTCATCTTCATTGCCATATTCATAACATTTCGACCGTTGTACGCTCCGGCCTTCATCGGGTGATTGGAATTTAGAACAGAACCCTTTATTTCGTACTCCGGAGTAGATTGCTAAGACATCCGGAAGAAGCATGACACGTGGAACTAGAACAATCTAGTGAGGGCCAGTAAGAAATCAAATAATCTTGTTCAATGTTATTTAGATTACAATAATCTCATACTAAACATCTTTAGCGTATAGCTACTTATACGACTGGTTCAGAAATGTGTATTTACTGAACCTAGATCTTTGAGGTAATGTAAGTAAAGTCAGAGGTGCAAGTAAGAAAATATATTAAAGAAATACCTAAGCGGAAGATGTTCTAACAATAATATTTTATTTTTCTAATTATCTTTTGTCTGTATGTTAATGGCTTGCTTACCCTGTATAGTTTTGAATCAAAATTTGCAATAAATTATCATCAATTTTAAGTTTAAAATCTGTGTAGTTTCTTAAAGGTCAATAATTATTATAATCACTATTTTACTAAATATGATTACTATTACATTTGTTAGATGAATATCGAACTGTAAAAAAAAGTTTCAATTCAAATGAAACTTTGTAATTGTATACACTTCTAAGTTTCTGCACCACAGGTTATTCTGAAAGATTTTCTCAACAAATAGTATAACAATATAATTATGCATATCACAATATTTATGGAAAATCGCAGATACTGTGCCAATGATGAATTTATGAGAGTATACAAGCATAATAAAATGGAAAATATTTGAGAATACGAATGTAATTCTGTTACATTAAATCATTAATCAAATGGAACGTGGGATATTCAAATTTTAACTTCGAAAAGACAAAATATGTGGATGGAAATATACATGATAGAGAAAAATACTTAAGGTATAACAACAATAATAGCAACAATAAAGTAATAAAATTTCGTCTGGTAAAAGTAATATAAACTGTCATGTGTATTCTACAAGAGAGGGCTACAAAGTTCTTGTCCAAAATTGGACCAAACATGAGTTTGTTTTTTCTTTTGTTTGTGAACGTCTGGCGGGTGGAGGATGCTTTCTGGTCGCGATGTTCACTCATGTAGAAGAAAAGGAGAAAAAAAAAATTAAATTAATGTGCCAGTGAACTTATTACTTAGCTTTTTAAGGATGTCATGAATATATATAAGGTTTCTAAATGTCAATAAAAAGATTCACTCTTTAAAGAGAAAAAATATTATTTATTAAACAATTTTTGTTTTGAAAGAACTGTCAATTTTGTTCATTGGACACCTGCGTTTATTTGATTTTAGAAATATAAATTCAAAGATGTAAATTTAAATAGAGTTAATTAATAGAATAAGATAAATGGTTACTTAATAATAGCTTTTTTTTAATTATGAAATAATTTTAAATGTGCGAAATTGGACAGGTCTCTTTAAGAAAAGTTTATTTTTAAATTTGTTCAAGCAACATAGTTTAATTTGTAATCAATCAGAATTGAATAAAAAAAAAACCGGAACAGATAAAATTTCTGTGTAAATCCCGACATGGTTTTTCAATAAATTTAGTATTACATTACTATTTATTTTTAAACGTGTTATGTGCGGAATGCATTTTTTTCTTCTTCAACTTCAAGCAAGTCGACCAATTCTTTGTTAACATCTGTCACCACTTTAACTGCACTAGCTTGTTGTCCACGTATGTTAGATTTATTTGAGAGTAACGGACAATGCTCTACTATCACCACGTTTTCAGTTTCTTTTCCTTTATATTTACTTTCCACGGTTACGCTACATGACATAAGTGACATCAGTTTATTGGAACAAACTATTATAGGTTTCAATGCCGCCATCAACGTTTTCGCAAACTTTAGCTTGAGAGTGCGATAAATACTGCAATTCTGCGTCGGTGACAGCATCAGTAGCCTTTCTGATCCCATTTTGTTTACACTTTTGTAAGCTGTCCATAAATCTACTGTAAGACGGTGGAGCATCAGCATGTTCTCCTATTTCTATTTCTTTGTCTTTACTCACTTCCTCTTTTTGGGACTCTTCTCGCCCTGCAAAAAGTTTAAGTTCTTCTTCTTTTTCTTTAAGGTCAATCTTTTGCCGCTTTTCGGCCCGAAGAGCTGATTGCAGATGCGTGTAAAAGAGTACAAAATGATTAACAATTATTGGTACTGTAAAACCTATCATTAGAAGTCCGGCAAGTGCACAGAACGTTCCGACCACATACCCAAGGTTCTTGGTAGGGTACATATCACCATACCCAACTGTTGTCATTGTGATAAGTGCCCACCAAAGACTGATAGGGATAGTGTCGAATTGTTCCTCCCCGACGAAAAAGATGAGAGATGCAAATATAACCATGCCGACTAGCAGAAAAACACACATTAGCATGAGTTCTTCTAAACTGGCCTTTAGTGTGTACATCATTACCCACAGACCAGATACGTGTCTGATAAGTCGGAAGATACGCAATATACGTATCAAGCGTAAAATGGTGATGTAGTGCATGATACTCGACACGGAATCATTGTGAACGTGATTAATAACAATAACTTCGATGTAGTCAGGCAGTAAAGCAACCAAGTCGACCATGTTGAGGAATGAAAAGAAAAACTTTACTCTTTTCGGTGCACACGTGAGTCGTAGGACGAACTCTAATGTGAAGAATATAAGACACACGATATCTATTATAATGAGAGCGTGGTGAGGTATCATTGGTTGTTGGTCTTCCTGAACCATCGAATGAGAAACGTTTGGAATTATAGTGATGCCATGATGGTGTCGACCAAGGATATCCCGAGTGCCAGGTACTTTAAAAGCTGGATGAGTCTCAGCGATGAACGTGAAGATTGACATTATAACGAAACTTAAAGAAATGAAGCCGTACACCTGAAAAGATATTAAAAAAAAGAGCAATTGATTAATAGAGAGATTAACGAATTACCATTTTTTGAATACAATTTCGTACGAGTTTGTTTCAGCAAAATATAAACTGTATTTCAAAATTGATTATGTTTGTCAACTGATCACTTTCACTGATGTATGCGACATTAGTAGAATTTTCATCATACTGCCTGAAATGACAATAGTCGAAAAGAAAGTACTCACAATATTGAATTATTGATCTCTATTTTCAATAATGGGATATCTTTAGTCTTATGATTGCTTCTATTTTCTTTTCATATTCTGAACCTGAAACTCAAATTTCCTAAAATGGTACCATTATGTTACTAGATAGACTTGTAGACACTGGTGGGTGGCAATCCAAGAAGACAAACACAAAAGAAAAAAATTACTGAAAAATTGATTATAAAAAATGAGCTATGCCTGCTCAACCAGGGAGCACCGACACACATCGATGCATCAACTGGAAACCTGTCAGCAGTTTACCTAGCCGTATTTGATCCAGTAATTTGTCTAGACTTTACCTGGAGTGTTTACAACGATACAGGCGGTAGCGACTATTTCTCCACCATCCTGAGAAAATGAGCTGATGGAAACCAAGTAGGACTAACTGGGAAATATTATGTCAAAACAAAGACAAAATAACGCAGAGACTCAGAAAATTTCACAGAAACCCTAATAGCCATAGCAAAACAATGCATCCCCAAAAGCCAAAACCATGCAGATGAAACAGACCCTTGTTCGAAGATAAATGTAACGGAGTAATTAGACTATGTAAAGCAGCAAAAATTCAACAAATGACCACCAACCAAAAACTTCATTAATTAAATAAAACAAAGGTCCGTAAAGTAATAAAAGAAACCAAAACGGACTTGATTATTTTTGTTTAACGGCATATCAAACCTTGTCACTGACGAAATCTCCATTATTTTCCCACCTAGTTTCACATACTTCAAATTTAAAAATGCAGTATCAATCGTTATCTTCTGTCTTCTTGAATCCTGTTCTTTTATTGTCCTCTCTGTTTCATTCCCTTTTAGTAAACCCTGTCTCTCTCCTCTCACCATACGACGCTTTTCATCCCAATAGAATCCATCCGTGCTTTGACAATTCATCAGTTCCTCTATTTCTTTTGCCATCAATATAATCTGTGAGTATTCAATTTTCCAAGTCCTCCTTCCTCATTATGTGTCCAAGAATTTAGTTTCATTCTTTCTTTCACTTTCTTTCTTTTAATGTCATACCCATTCAGGGGATAGGCAACTGTGACTCTCCACAGATTAGTTTAATAACTCTGAACTGTGTTACAATTTTTCCACCAAAGTTTGGAATACAAAATGTCTTTCTCTTATACTGTTTACCACCAAAGGCAAGAGAACCTAGTCTACTTTGTTACTTTTACATGGAAGAAGAAGAAAAGATGAATGTATGCCTTTCCGAAGGATATTTGTGCAGACGTGAAAACAACAAGCTAGAATCGAATTTGAACTCGGTACACCGATTTCATTTCCTGTGCCGATATCTGTTACACTACTCGTAACTGAATGTGTATACGTTCTTTGTTGTAAGCAATTTTAGAAGTCATAATCTACAACTTTTACGTAATCTTTGTAAAAACACAAAATTAGTTGTTTTATAAAATGTGATAGCCACAGATTACAAATGCCAACATGATAACATATTTTAGTCGCTACGACCATTTCAAAAAGCTACCAGCACCGTCCCTCAGCCTGTTTCCATTTCCGTCCGTTTCCCTGATACTACTTCCGGCAGCTGGGACAGCTCTGGTACTTGAATGACAATAAAATCATATATCAACCAATAATACACAAACATTAATATTCACTGCAAACGACAGTTAACTCGTAGCAGTAGCGTAAAGTGTCATTAGGTACAGGTGTTTCGACAGTTAAAGGATGTACCTTTTGTATTATATACTGTTACTGGATTGTGTTATATGATCCTGTGTAAACTTTTAGTAATCTTACACTATGTTTGTCTTTCCCTTCCTTCTTAATTAGTCATTTCTCTACCATGTTCCCCATAATTTATTTTCCTATTATGTTTCTCTGTCATACATTTTTGTGTCAATACAGAAATTAATCTACTTTTATCTCTCAATTTTACTTTCTCCTCACATAATAAGTACTCAGTCAGAAAAATTCAAGATTATGCTTCATCTTATCCATATTGTTTTTATCGCTTCTCACAATTTTTTCAAAATCAAAACATTGTTGTTCTGTGTGAATCATACAAACATACAAAGTACAGCATATATCTTTATCGTCATCAGAAACTACACATCAAAGTGACTAACATTACCAAGCGAATGAAAGTAATTTTGATCTTTTCATATTTTTAAGTATTTTGGCTACCTCACGCATCGTTGATCGCTATTAACTTCAGTTGATCTACCCTACAGTGAACCGTCGTTCAGCGAAAACCCATACAAAAATGTTGTTCTTTGAGGCAGCTGCTTTATCATGCATACGGTATTGTTCTGCTAATAAATAGATGTGTCAACAAACACTGAATATCGGCGTTTGATTCGTAAAAAGCCCAACACAACGAAAAACAAAATAGGTCATAAATGAAAAAGGCATCAAATGCGATCCAACGAAACAAATTGAAATCAGTTAAAACTCTTCAAATATAAAATATATAAAATCTCCAAACTCTTCAAATATAAAATATATAAAATCTCCTGTTTGACTTTCTCATACAACAGATAGATTCTCCTTTTCGTAAAATCATATCTATGAATTCTTCTGATAATCTTCTGATCTTATGAATACAGTCATTTACATTGAATTTCTGTTGATACTAAAAATAACAATGTCAAAATATACAATAACTTTTCCCTTGCTTAATTAATAATTTGAGTAAAGTATATTGCAATTATGAGGGGATATTTAAGGTCAATGGCAAGTAATTTATTTTTGGAAAGTATATGTTTTCACTTGTTATATATGCCACATTCGTAAACCGAGGAAATTAGTTTTAAAATATTACTAATTAATTTATTTTGTTGTCCCAACCGAGATTTAGTGCATATATATATATATATATATATATATATATATATATATATATATATATATATATATTAAGAAATGGACAAAGTCCGACAATTTATTTATATATCGAAAACGTAGCATATATCGTTTAAAATGACGAAGCATAATTACTCTTGAATTTCTTTAAATAATAAACGGTTAACAAATCAACTCCATAGTTGTCAGGCTGCGATACTATTACCATTGTTACTGTTAATCATAAGAAAGTTTTCTTAAATTAGAAGGAACGATATACTGACAGGCCCCTGATAAATAAGAAGGGTTAATGAATAAAACCCATGGGGAAAAATTGAAGATTTTAATTGTCATATAGACAGTCACCTAAATTTTGTGTCGGGTTTTGAATAATGAAAAACACAAAGTGGACGTGGATTTGAACTGCGACAGGCCAAAAGGGCAACAATGATTGACATTTATCACACACAGCTAAAAATACGAGCTATGAATGGGAAACTTTGTTTTTATGTAAACAACGAACTTAGAATTAATCGTTCCTGGTTGGAGGATGGCTGAGGTAGCAGTCACAGACAAGTCAGCTAAGAAGGTGGAGGAGCCACTCACGCCCACTGAGAAGTATTAGTGGGAGATGATAATAGGAGGAAGTGGAATTTATGAGGTGGAGTAATGCCTATAAGCATCACCCGTGGAAGAAGGGGATTCCACAAAATTATGAAGTAATTTAATTCTCAGGACCTAAAACAACGAAGATGACAGGAGGAGATACTGAATTCCCCAACTACACTGTGCCCCACGCCGGTTTAGGAAAACGCCAATAAATATGAATACCCGAAGCGAGATCGTCAGAGACGAGACGGAAGAGTGTTCGTTCCAGCCGATGAGAACCCCTGACTTCAGCCTTGTGCCGAACTTTACCTAATTAGCAAGACAAACTTTACCAAGTCAACAAAAGTGATACGTCCGAGTTAGAAGCGGGTTGGACTGATAATTGTTCGCATGCGAACTCTTGATTTAACCAATTACTATACGAAGGACTTGATATAAAAATAGTATTTAATTTTTTTTAATTATTCGAGTGTTATTTTCTTATTGTGCTTCTTCGCCCTGCTTAGACCAGCCCAATACGAAGATACCATACGAAGATTCGATCTTGGCTGCCTTATGATCAAACCATATCACAACGTGAGGTACGGCATGACCTGGATCGAAGTGATGACTTCATCGATCAGCTGCGGTATTGGACGTCTTGGACGACATTTGATGCCGTGACCAGGATAGACCCCGAGGGCACAAGACCCATACCCATTCAGATTTGATCAATTTTTGAGCCGTCTTTCGATTGTATAAGCTTATTAGCGAGACACACACCATACATAGGTAGGTACGAACGTATTTATACTTAATATAAATATTAACTTAATATTTATTAAACTTAAAAAAAAAAAAAGAACCTGAACGATTGCAACAAACGATTCTCTTGGACAGAACTAGAAGATTCTATTAAATGTTCATAAATTTAGTTGTAGGTCCGGACGAGGTCCACTATGAGTTTTTAAAAAAACTCTCAAGAGTCATTAAAATTGTTATTAACAAAATAATCATATTTTCGCCATTGTTCAGGGATCCCATCTTTTGTCCAGATAATGGTGACAAACAACTGTTCTACTGATTCCTATACCGGGAAAATACAATTCAGACCATGGACATTATAGACAGATTTTTCTCACAAGCTGTTTACTTTGGTATGTGGATCCCAATAAATTAATGACTGACTTACAATGTGGCCTTCGCAAAAACAGGAGTACAGTGGACCGCCTGCTTCGTTGAAAAACTTTATAAAGGAAGCATTTATAAGAAAAGACCACGTGGCTACTGTATTCTTTGACTTGGAAAATACTTACGAAACTAGATAACTCCGAACTGAACGGTTGGCTACCTAAATTCATTAAG